ATGGTCAGTACCTTAAGCTTTGGCCAGGCCTGATGGCTTTACACCTACAACACCTGACATTGTCAGAATAGCTTCTTTGCATAACAGTTGATATATATACAGTACAGGCCAAAAGTTTGGACACACCTTCTCATTCAATGCGTTTTCTTTATTTTCATGACTATTTACATTGTAGATTCTCACTGAAGGCATCAAAACTATGAATGAACACATGTGGAGTTATGTACTTAACAAAAAAAGGTGAAATAACTGAAAACATGTTTTATATTCTAGTTTCTTCAAAATAGCCACCCTTTGCTCTGATTACTGCTTTGCACACTATTGGCATTCTCTCCATGAGCTTCAAGAGGTAGTCACCTGAAATGGTTTCCACTTCACAGGTGTGCCTTATCAGGGTTAATTAGTGGAATTTCTTGCTTTATCAATGGGGTTGGGACCATCAGTTGTGTTGTGCAGAAGTCAGGTTAATACACAGCCGACAGCCCTATTGGACAACTGTTAAAATTCATATTATGGCAAGAACCAATCAGCTAACAAAAGAAAAACGAGTGGCCATCATTACTTTAAGAAATGAAGGTCAGTCAGTCTGGAAAATTGCAAAAACTTGAAATGTGTCCCCAAGTGGAGTCGCAAAAACCATCAAGCGCTACAACGAAACTGGCACACATGAGGACCGACCCAGGAAAGGAAGACCAAGAGTCACCTCTGCTTCTGAGGATAAGTTCATCCGAGTCACCAGCCTCAGAAATGGCAAGTTAACAGCAGCTCAGATCAGAGACCAGATGAATGCCACACAGAGTTCTAGCAGCAGACCCATCTCTAGAACAACTGTTAAGAGGAGACTGCGCCAATCAGGCCTTCATGGTCAAATAGCTGCTAGGAAACCACTGCTAAGGAGAGGCAACAAGCAGAAGAGATTTGTTTGGGCCAAGAAACGCAAGGAATGGACATTAGACCAGTGGAAATCTGTGCTTTGGTCTGATGAGTCCAAATTTGAGATCTTTGGTTCCAACCGCCGTGTCTTTGTGAGACGCAGAAAAGGTGAACGGATGGATTCCACATGCCTGGTTCCCACTGTGAAGCATGGAGGAGGAGGTGTGATGGTGTGGGGGTGTTTTGCTGGTGACACTGTTGGGGATTTATTCAAAATTGAAGGCACACTGAACCAGCATGGCTACCACAGCATCCTGCAGCGACATGCCATCCCATCCGGTTTGCGTTTAGTTGGACGATCATTTATTTTTCAACAGGACAATGACCCCAAACACACCTCCAGGCTGTGTAAGGGCTATTTGACCAAGAAGGAGAGTGATGGAGTGCTGCGGCAGATGACCTGGCCTCCACAGTCACCGGACCTGAACCCAATCCAGATGGTTTGGGGTGAGCTGGACCGCAGAGTGAAGGCAAAGGGGCCAACAAGTGCTAAACACCTCTGGGAACTCCTTCAAGACTGTTGGAAAACCATTTCAGGTGACTACCTCTTGAAGCTCATGGAGAGAATGCCAAGAGTGTGCAAAGCAGTAATCAGAGCAAAGGGTGGCTATTTTGAAGAAACTAGAATATAAAACATGTTTTCAGTTATTTCACCTTTTTTTGTTAAGTACATAACTCCACATGTGTTCATTCATAGTCTTGATGCCTTCAGTGAGAATCTACAATGTAAATAGTCATGAAAATAAAGAAAACGCATTGAATGAGAAGGTGTGTCCAAACTTTTGGCCTGTACTGTATATATATATAACAATTTGGTCAACACTTTCAAGTGCTGTGGGATCATCCAGGACTTGAACCCAGAACCTCTTGCATTCAAAGCAAGACGCATACTCATAGACCAATGAGCCATAAAATACGTTCTTTCTCCATCCATTCACCTATTTTCCTCCCCTGGGTCAGGTTGCAATGAAAGCAGCCTTGACAAAGTTGCCCAGGTGCTCTCCTCCACTTCTGCATTCTCCAAGACTTATTAGAGGATCCAGTAGGCATTCTTGGGCCAGACTGGATATGTAGTCCTTCTGGTATTTTCTCAGCGTGCACTGAGGTCTCGTCTTTTGAGGTTACGATAAAATCAGAGATGCGTAATGGCTTTACTGCATATTAACTGTACCTCTACTTTTTAGTCAAACTAAGTAGCTACTTTCAAGAGTTGTGGGCTCGTCCGGGATTTGAACCCGGGACCTCTCACACCCGAAGCGAGAATCATACCGCTAGACCAACGAGCCATGAAAAGGACAATATGTCTGTCCATTTACTTATTTTCCTCCTCTGTCCAGGTCAGGTAGCAATGGAGCTGGGCTTGGCAAAATCGCCCAGATGCTCTCCTCCACCTCTGCGTCTTTCAGGTCTTCTTAAGGGATCCAGAAGCATTCCCAGGCCAGACTGGACATGTAGTCCTTCCAGTATTTTCTGGATCTGCACTGAGGTCTCTCCCTAAGAGGACATGCCCTGAATATCTCCCAAATGACTCAAGTGGTACTTTTTACATGGAGGTGCCGCAGTTCTTCTCTCACTTTCTCTTTGGAAAAACTGAGCTGCTTAACTGTCCCTTAAGGTGAGCTGGGACATCCTGTGTAAGGAAACCAGTTCGAAAGCTTACGTATATCCACAATCTCATTCTTATGGTCAGTACCTGAGTCTTTGGCCATGCCTGACAGTCTGAAGGCAAATCTTTTTGTTTCTGATCAAATCAGAGATGTTCAATGGCTTTACTGCATAAGAACAATACATCTACGTTTTGCATGAACCAAAAGTTCTCAGTTGGTTCCACCGAGACTTGAGCTTAGTGATACTATTGGATGATAGGACACATTTCACACAAGGGGTTCCACTGAGACTCTAACTTGGATTCATCAGTAGAGTCAGTAAAAGATGATTGCTCCACTCTAATGACTTTTCTTAGTGTGTAAACCTACATATTAGGAAACTGATTTCATGAAGTCCTCTCACCTTTAGGACAAAAGCGCTGTTTCGACATTACAGCATTTCCGGTCAGCATAGCTCTTTTGCATAACACCTTATACATACCTAATCAGTGAAACTAAAGAGCCACTGTGATGTGCTGTGGGCTCGTCCGGGATTTGAACCCGGGACCTCTCGCACCCAAAGCGAGAATCATACCCCTAGACCAACGAGCCATTAAAAGTGCAATATTTCTGTCCATTTACTCATTTGGAACTAGTGGAACTAGGCTTGGCAAAATCGCCCAGATGCTCTCCTCCACCTCTGCGTCTTTCAGGTCTTCTTAAGGGATCCAGAAGCATTCCCAGGCCAGACTGGACATGTAGTCCTTCCTATTTTCTGGGTGTGTGCACTGAGATCTCTTCCCAAGATGATGTGCCCTGAATATCTCCCAAACGTCTCAAGTGGTACTTTTGACATAGAGGCACCGCAGTTCTTTTCTCACTTTCTCTTTGGAAAATCTGAGCTGCTCAATTGTCCCTAAAGGTGAGCTGTGTTCTTATGGTGGAAACCTGAAGCTTTGGCCAAGGCTGATGGTTAGAATGGGAATCAACTGGTAAACTGAGATTTATATCTTTATGTCAAACATTACAGCATTTCAGGTATTTGTCAGCATAGCTCTTATGCACACATATATATCGCTTCAGTCAAACTAAAGAGCCACTGCCAAGTGTTGTGGGCTAGTCCGGGATTTGAACCCGGGACCTGAACCCGGGACCTCTCGCACCCAAAGCGAGAATCATACCCCTAGACCAACGAGCCATGAACAAAAGAATCACTTTGTACATCTTTTCTCTTTGTATGGCTCCACTGCCAAAGCTGGATTCAGCTTTGTCATACTGGTGGATGATAGGACACACTTCAAACAAAATCTTCAACTAAGACTCAAATTTGGATTCATCAGTAAAACACAACTACTCCATCCCAATGAATTTGCTCTGTGTGAAACCTTAATTATCTGCTCATGTGTGGACGATTACACCATGGAGACCAGGTCATGCAAGCATGGTGTGCACAAGACATGCAACAGCTCCTCACTCAAGTGTTTATGCTAAGGTAAATTAGGCTGTCACGAAAATGACAAGACAAAGTGAAATGAGGATGCTCAGGTCTGAGGTAAGAAACAAAATACGATGAAAATGCCAAAATTATACGCTGAAATCTCAGCATCTGAGTTTAAGAAACTCCCATGACTCTTAATACAGAATAAATAGTGTACAGTCACAGAGCACCAGTATCACCCCATTGGCTAAACTGGTCTTGAGTTCAAAAAGAGGCCTGACTGCACTCTACGTTGAGTTTTAACTTATGAAACTAAATAGAAGAACAGACGCTGCCTTTGAGGCGACATATACCATATGTCCCTGCTGGCTTGGACACAGAGCGGAAGATGAGAAGTGTATGTATAGCCTGCTGCTGGGTACAGAGTCACACACGTGTGTACAAATGCACACATGCCCTCAGTACATTCAGGAAGTTTTGTTTTTATAGCCATCAATCTGGCAAGGAAAAGAAAAAGTTCCCCTGTAAGAGACACCGGGAATGCAAAGTAAACACGTGAAGTATGTGTGTGTTGTCTGAACCAGATGTTTCCCTAAATTAAATTAGTGTAGTCCTCCTCTGATAGGATGCAACAGCGTCACGCCACCTCAGCCACTGCCAAACCCCCCCGCTGAAACAGACCTGAACCTTCTCAGCTGCTGTGTGTGCATGTATTCAACGCTGCATATGTTATATGAATGTTCTCTGCATTCCCCGGTGCTCTGTGTGCTTTGGCAGACAGGAGTTGCTCTTTAGGGGCGTGGATGTCGAACCCATCTGTACATTTGCTTTACCTATATCAAGTATTCTTTTTCATTCCTTGGTGCAGGTCAGGGTTTATGTACAGTATAAAAGTGCACTGAAAAGATCATTTTTGGGTAATTTATGACCTTCAAAAGAACAAAAATACTATCAGAGTTTCCTCAGTGGGTGATATGACAGTAGATAGATCCATACTCTTCATATTTCATGTGTTTATGGAGTAAAAACACAGCAGACACTTATGAGACTGAAGTTTTTATTCACAGTTTTGCAGTTTTGTATTAGAATTGTTTGTGTGTGTGTGTGTGTGTGTGTGTGTTCTTCAACCTGGCCTCTGACACCACAGAGGTTTTTGGTAGATTTATTTCTCAAACCACAGGATGATGAAGGAAAAAAAACTCTCTGACAACACAAGCAACTAGTGGTCACTAATGGTCTGGCAAGAAATGCCTAAGACACAGTATTTTGTTTGTAGCTTTCTTAAAACCTTGCTAACGAAGTGTATGTAGCCTGTGTGTGTGTTGAAAAGGTAGTTACACTTTGCCTGTTGCGGTAGCTTTGGGTAAACTTTGGACTGACCTCATGTCTCAAAGATTTTAATAATTTAGAGTCAAACAGAACTGTCACTTTCATCCTTCAGTGTTTAAAGGAATAGTATGGCATTTTTGGAAATACCCCTTTTTCACTTTCTTGCTGAAAGTTAGCTGAGAAGATAAAAAGCACTCTCATATAACTATGCTAACTGTAAAGCTAAAGCATAGAGATGGTTAGCTTAGCTGAGCACAAAGACTGGAAATGGGAAAAGAGCCTGGCTGTGACCAAAGGGAACAAAATCAACACACCAGCACATCTGAAGCTCAAAAATTAACATGTTCAAAGCGTGAAAACGCCAAGAAATAGTCCAGTGCATAACCCCCTGTTAATTACCTTCAGCATGCTAGCCATGCCAGAGGATGTATCTTACAGACTTTGGTAATTCCCTGACTTTTTCTTTGGCATTTTTTTCTTTAAGTGAAATGTCCTAAAAACGACTGATAGATCGTCATGATGTTAGCCACTTTTACACTGCCTGCCAAAATGAGACAGGTGTGACATTTTGATGTGTTATGTGTGTGACCTAACCCCAAGATTTAAAATGAAGCTGATAGCAGTTAGCGGTTAAAAATGTACGCAACTTGGGAAAACAGTGAGGTCCAGGAGTTTCTTACCCTCTGAGCAGGGGACAAAATCAGCTGCCATATAACAGAGACTGTAAATGATTGTTATTGCTATGTTGATGCCATTGTTCTTGTTTATTAAGTGCACTGGAGCGTCATGATGTCACTGTTGTTTGGTTCTGTGTAAAAATGCAAAGGCAGCATAAAGAAGGGACTTAGTGACCCTATAGTAGGACCTCTGTGTGAAAGGGCTACTGGCTACAGATAATTACAGTGTCCAGGAGATAAAATGTAATAACTTTGGTGATCACCTCACTTTTCCTTTTGCATTTTTGGCTAAAGGAGAAGTGTTGGATGGATTGCTATGACACTGACTACAGATATTTACAGTGTACAGAGGATGAATTGTTATAACTTTTGTAATCACCAGACTTTTCATCAAGTGACATCATCAGTTCAAACTTTTAATTTTAACTTGCTATGACATGCCAATTAGCAGATGTTAGCATGCTAACATGCTAAACTAAGATGGTGAACATGGTAAACATTATACCTGCTAAACATTAGCATGTTAGCATTGTCACTGTGAGCTCTTTATCACGCTGATGTTAGCATTAAGCTCAAAGCACAACTGCTAGCACAGCTGTAGACACACTGTTTATGTCTTGATGCCAAACTAAGCTAACAGGTTGGTATTTAATAAAAAGACATGAAAGTGATATCTTCTCATCTAACTCTTTGCAAGAAAGAAAAAAAGCGGATTTCCCAAAATGCTTAACCATTCCCTACTTTTCTGTTCGATGCAACTTGTGGAGCCAAAATGATGCGAGCTACAAATATTGTCAAAGAAAAGAAAGAAAAGAGCTACTTCTACAAAACCTACTTACATGTTATAAAACAAACATTAACAAAAATATATAAAACTTTCAAAAGCTTTGAAAGCGTAAAAAATATACACTTGTGTCACCGTGTTAAAACTGATAACGTTAGTACAAACAAATGTATTGTCTACAGGTAAACCTAGCTATGCGGGAACATTGCTCTGATAGTTGATGATGTACAGTATGAACTACTAGAAGGACTGCGCTGGTACTGCTGTGGCTGGTACTGATGTGTGTGAGAGAACACATGATAAAGTACAGTTGGCTGACATCTGAGGTCGTTCTCAAATGGCTTCAAGGGTTACTGGGGGGTGGGTTGCCCTCACCACACAGTTCCTGATTGTTGTTGTTCTTCCCTTTGGTCCTTGGAAGTGTTACAAGATCTGAATGGGAAGAGCTGGAAAGTCCAGTGATCCTAGAACATAGACAGGCCATGTCAGAGATAAGTTGTTACAGAATATGTTTTTTCTTTTTTTATTATCCCTAAAGAGAGGAGTAGACAGATGAGCACTTACCACGTGGGAAATATCAGTTCCAGCTCTCTTGTCCGCTGTGGAAAAAGAGAAAAGAAAATCAGCTACTTTACTTTTGCCCATGCTCGAGAGCTACAGTCGTGCTTAGTTTCAGGAAAGCCACCAGAGTGTTAGTTTGAGTCCAAATAAAATTGTAGATGGATCGAGTAAACAAACACAAATTTTGGATGTAAATAAAAATATGTACCATTTCTGTTGTTTATTGGCAATGTGGATAATGCATTTTTGGCTATAAAATAAAACACCATATAGTGCAATAATAACCCATGTCATATCCCTACAACCTATACCATTCAAAACCAGGTCTGCCCACAGAGATGACAGGGCCTTTGAAAAGATCCAGTGAATATGCTCTCCCCAATTTGCTTTGCTCATATCAAGGCATACATGAAAAGTGACTGCTAGGCACTATCATTCTCTTCCTCAGAGGTGGTGGTGCGCCTCTTGGCCAATAATATAAGCAATAACGTTGGCCTTCTGGCTATTGATCGTCTTTTAGCCTGGCTGGGAGCAGCTTTCTGAGCTGACTGAAAAGAGTTCACTAAGGCCATTAGATTATTATTTGGGTTTTAATCTTCCTCTTTTTCTTCTCCTCTCTCTCCTGGCCTCCCAGTGTATGTGTAGGTCCTCAAATAACAGGAAAAATTCACTGAATGATTAGCTAATTGCTAGTTTAGTTCAGTGTGTCTCAGTTGAAGACTATACCTCAGCTTCAGTTATGGTAAACAAAGGTGTCCCACAGGGATCCACTTTAGCCCCCATCTTATTTTCTATCTTTATAAATGACTTAGGTCATGGAATTAACCCAGCCAAGCTTCATATGTACGTGGATGACACAGTCATCTATACAGGGGTACCCTCTTTAAATCAAGGCATAGAGCTCTTACAGGATGCCTTTCAATCTCTGCAGCTTTCATTATTAAAACTAAAACTGGTCCTAATTTAAAAAAAGACCAAATATATGACTTTCGCTCACAAAAACCCTGCTGATCCCACTATTGTGACACTACATGGTACTTGTATTGAAAGAGTCACTTTCTAAATAGAAAGTGCATATCATGCTGCATTACGTTTTGTCACAAATGCAGGCTCATGCACTCACCACTGCAGTTTGTATGAATTGGGATGGTCCCCTCTCTATTAGAGGAGAAAAATGCACAAGTTGCTATATATTGCCGAGGCATTATTAGATAGATTGCCTACTTATGTCTCCAGCCTTCTTTCCTTACACACTAGCAACTATTGTGCTCGTTCTATCGTATTCTTTTAAATGTCCCCAGGGTGCGCACAGAGCTTGGTAAAATTGCTTTCTCTTCTTATACACCCTATGTATGGAATGAGCTCCAAAATGCTGTTACTTTAGAAGCACTCCCTCCCTTGAACATTTTAAAGGTCTGCCTTGAAGGAAACACGTTGGTGCTTTACATAGTCCTTGACCTAGGCCTTTTTCTCTTACTAGTTTTCCCTTGTGTGTTCCCTTAATGTATTGTATGTGTTTTCATATGTGACATTTTTTTTACTGCTGTAAGTGATTGTGCCGCTGTCTTGAAGAAAAGATCTTGCGTCTCAATGGGACCTTCCTGGCTAAATAAAGGATAAATAAAATGAAGTCATATCAGAACACGGCAGTGTCAGGTGTATCAGAGGTCTTCGCCTAAACCAACTCCATCATGATTCACTCCTTTTTTTTGTGTCTCAGTGTTTGAAAGGACATTGTCGGTTAAAAGAGACAACGATGAAGATAGTAGGATGGCAAGAAATAATAGAAAGAGAAGGAAAATCTCCTGTGTGAAGTCAGACGGAAGATGATTGAATGGCTGGTGGTTCTCAGATGGTTTTGGTTGTTAGATGAGGGTTAGTGGAAGGTTAAAACAGACAGTCAGTACCTCATCGACGAGTTCCTTTGGGTCATGAGTCGTGGTAGCTTGGGGGAGCAGAGGCTCGAGGGAACCGGGTCAGGGTGTCGGAATAGGGAGAGCTACATGTACACACACACACACACATATACGCATATACATATAAACTTAACATCTGTGGAGAAATGTCCCTAACTGCCTGCAGACTGTCAAAATTATCCCTCCACCAATTAACACCTCGGCATGCAAGCAAGCAGAGACACTGCTCGTACCTGACCACAGCGATGTCTCCGTAGATATTGCACACTTGTTCACCATGATTACCTGTATTACCCATACTGCAACACAAGAGCGAGGGCGGACAAGTGAGAAAGAGAACGGGAAGACTCCGCTGAAAGCAACAAGGATGGAGTTTTCCTTAGAAATAAAGTCGAAAGAGAGGAGAGAGCTGCAGGAGATGATGAAATGAAGATCCATGCAAAGAGAGGAAGACCACGCTCATGATTTTTGATGAGCAAAAGAAATATGAAAGATGTGGAGAGATCCAAAGTCGAAGTATCCCATACCAAACAGGGAGAGGGCACGTGGAGTAGGACAAAAGGATTCATGAATAGCAGACAAACGTCAAAGTGCAACAAGCCATGGGTAAGAGCTACAGAGAGCGGAAATAACATGAGGAGAAAATATGAAGAGAATCAAAGGCCATGAAAATGACAGAGAAAGGGAAAGAAAAGGATTAATTAATTTTGTTCTGATCTACAGAAAAGATTCAGAAAATCTACCAGTAAAACTAACAAAACTTCTGTCTGTGGCTACATTTGAACAAAGTGTGTGTGGGTTTGGACTCACTCTTCAAAGACGTCCTCTGTGTCCATCCTTCTGTAATACTTGGCCAGTTTGGTGGAGAAGATGATACTGGGGATCAGAAGGATGCAGCAGCCTCCCAGACCAAACCAGAATGTGTTCTGAAAAACATGTTCACAATTTTGTCTCCAGTTAACATTCAATGAAATTCTCATCTCACTGAAATTGAATTTTAAGTGCAAAAATAATGTGATGATTAACCGATGAACTGTTAAGTTAACTGTTGAAGTCAATTTAAAAATGCTGTCCTCACCTTCTCAAATACAAATACACACTGGTAGAGTACGTTTTCAGATCAAGTAGTAAGTGAAAAGCAGTAATAACACAGTGTGATGTACTTTAAGTATCAATAGTAAAAGTACTCAGGCAGCAGAACTGATACTTCTAAAGTATTATATTCAAATACATTACATTTTTTGGTTATTAGTATTGGTGCATTTTAATGTAGATGCTAATGTAGATGGTGCTAGATGAGGTTTATAGCTTATATTTAAGCAGTTTGACGTGCTTTTACACCTGTAGTTCATTTGGTCCGGACTGAGGGGGAAAATGATAAGTTATTAGTTTTTATTGTTTGACGAAGTTGTTTCATACCCTATTGATTTAAACTTTGTTTTTGTAAAGGCCTGTTTATTTGGGGATTTGTTTTCATTTTTTCAAATGCAACAGTCAAGACAATCAGTTCATAGCATCACCTTGCAACTCTCCATACATCCTGCAAATCAGTCAACTCTTAAACCAACCGAAGCACCTGGATCATCAAACAGTGAGTAAAACTAAACCAAAGACAGTGAGTTCATCACATCTCTTGTTATGGTGTCTGTGGGCGGCTATCTGGAAGCCGCAATAAGGACACACGTGAAAAAATTAACAGTAGTTTATGCAGCACTTTAGTACTTCTGTGTGCTCGTTATGATGATTAATGACTAACAGGTACAGACAGGACGAAAAGGAGGTGTTATGTACAGTAATGATTTGGGGCTTATTACTTTGGGATCACTGTCACTCATTTTTAATGGATTTAATGAACTAACAGAGTACTTGAAGTGTGATACAAGCACAGCAGTTTTAACAGTTTTTGACCTATAAATCAGGGAAAATACTTGTGTTAATCTGAATGATTTGCATTAACAGGTTATACAACTTGTTTTTATATGGATCAGTTATACTGTAAGAACGCTTCCTTAACAGATTTTATGATCAGCTGATGGATTTATTAGTAGTTTAACTTTACAAATCATGTTAAAATCATGTCTGCTATCATTAAATCCTGTTGGTTCGTTCTGTTGTTTCTACCCACGAACAGCACCAGAGTCTGCTTGCAAATGGAGACCCAAATTTTCAGGTGGTCTCGGTTTGTTTGTTTGATCTGCACCAGGGTACTACTGACAACTCTCACACCAGATGAATGAACATTACTTACCGGGCAAACAGACCTGAATTTGTTTTAACTGAACCAAACAGTTTAGGTGTGAAAGCACTCTAATAACTACAGTTGTCAGTTTTGCAGAAAGTTAAATATTGGAAATTAGTGTAAGTATGATATAGTACAAAATGGTAATGTGCAGTACAAAGATTTAAGACGTTTGACTATGTCTGTTGCTGTTTCACATTCACATTCTCAAAGAGTCACAAAATAACAGACAGATTAGTTGATAATGAAAATCCTGCTACTATTCACATAAAGTCACGTACACATGGATGCACAAGAGATACACACATTCTGAGGCACAAATAGGACAGAACATGTAAATACAAACACGTGTGCGCATACACACGTTGGGCACATACAGCACAGTAGCTGCAGGCAGTGCTGGAGCGCTGACACATAAAAAATCTCTGTTTATATTGACCACAGTCTGTGGCTTGTTTGAGCTCTCATTAAACTCTCACAAACTCACACACGATATATGACTGATATGTAAATATAAAATTTTACAACTCCTCAGGGCCGGAGTGAAAACAGTGAAGAATCTACAGTATGTGTATGTAACTCCCCGTCCTGCATTAAAAACAGACCCTATCTCATCTCAGTGTGTGTGAGTGAGTGTGTTGGAGACTTGAGAACATACTGTTCCCGAATGTGTGGCCGAATGACTGCACAGACTTTGTCGCTCTGAAAAACCCAGGGCTCCCTCAAACCGTCAAAGAGCCGTTTATGTTTCTAGTTTCTACTCATGTGGGGGAACATGTACTGTACATACAGCTGTGAAATGAATCACAGCACCTCAGCAGCCTGCCACACACACACACACACACACACATACACACACAGATAACCACAGTGTTCGGGTGTCTTACCACTGAATCGAGTATGAAGCTGCAGGCTACTATCTCCATGCTGTCCACCATGTTACTGATGGGTTTACACTGGGCCACCTCTACAGTCAACTGTGGGGGAAAAATACACCAGAAACCCAAAGTATAGATTACAGTGTGTGTATAAATGACATCAAACATAAAACCATAACTTGATGAGCATGGTGTAGAAGTGGAAAGATGATCTCTTCTAAACGTTGTTATTACAGACTTCAACTTTAAATCAAAGTGGCTCCTGGGACTGTTAAAATCATCTTGTGGTTACAATCAGAGACCTTTTAAAAACTTCCTAAATTTACTGAAACCTGAACATTGTGTTCACTCTAAAGAGTGCAGCCTGAGTTTTACTGTTCATTTACTATCATCAAGTCTAAACCCAACACTACAGTAACATTAAAACAAAGTTTCAGAAAATCAGCTAAGTAAATGCAAGTTTTGGTGTGTTTCCATCCACTAATGTTATGCTAATATTAGGAGTTGTTTCAGCCAGGCCTGCGCAGAATCATTTATCAGCAAGTGCCACACAATGCATGCTAGTTAGATCTATGTTCAACTTGATGCCAATTTGCTCTGATGCAGGCAACGATAACCTCACGAAATCGAGGCAGCCTCAGTTTTTAGAGCCAGGCACTGTAGTTGCTCTCCATCAACTGCAAGACCCAGGGCATGATGGGAAACGCCTGGTTGTTGCCTGCTCAAAGAGCTTACAGGCTCTTAGTTTCAACCACAAGCAAAAAATCCAAACTTTCTGTATAATTGTAATATTTAGTGTTAAATTGTAGGCTGTTAGTCTCATTTAATGCAATGACAGTTTATTCTGTTAACAAACACATCTTGTGTATAATAATAAAGTTTATAATGTGGTCTGGTAACTACAGGTAACCTACAGATCTAACAGCTTTTTTCTCTGCCCCCTGCTGCTAAAACCACTTTCGAGGTGAGGCACAGTCAATCTTAAACGAGCCTATTATACTGTTGCACCAAATGGTGTAAAAAATGTAGAAAATATGATGTAAATATGGCATTGATGTTTATTTCATGTACTGAGAAAGGTTACAGTCTCCTCATCGCTCCACACAGATCTGATGTGTCTGTCTACTGCCATTTTTCATCTCAGTGGATGTTTAAGTCACATGATTCATGAATTATTCCCCAAGTATGTTTACACTGCACTTGCTTGCATTTTGCTTTTATCGATACGCCCACGTTCCACCAAAACCAAAGATATAAAGGTTTTTGCAATATTTTTGGTAGTTTTTTTCTGAATTTTTGTTGAGTTTTCACTCAAGTTTATTTTATGTGCAATTAAATGTGCATTAAGACAGGTGGATTGAAATACTTAACTCCCTACTGTAAATCATTAACCTGTAAGCTATAAAAGACATCAAAAACTGGTTGTATACTCACCGAGTTTTTAACCCAATCTGTGTACTGTTTGAAGTATCCCACCAAGCTCTGTGTGTAAGCGCGTGTTTCCTAGACAACAACAGAGAATAAAACATGTCAAATGTGTCAAGAAAATGTGTGACCTCAGTCTGCTGTGGATTAGTGTGGTTTATTAGTGTGGTAATTAGTCTTTAGATAAAATGTTTAGTAATTTCATACTGTCCAGCAAGAGCATCTTAAACTTGATACTGCAATGCTGTTTCTGCTCAGGATAGTCAAGCTTGGATCGTAATACAAGCAGTTGTTGTTGTTTATTGTGATTATTTAAAATGTCTGGTTTAGATCAGAGAAGATGGGGCCCAGACTGAGCTGAGGAATGGATAAAAATGTGTCACTTATATATATATCTTATATAGTACTTATATAATACTTATCATTGTAATGTTTTTTATACCTGTTTGATCACATGGGAGGCGTTATGAGTGATGAGGTACTCTGCTGCATCGATGGCACTCAGGATATTTGTGACCTTGACCTAAAGGAGAGAGAAATTAAATTGTACTTAGGAGACAATCTAACATGTAGTTGTGTTTATTGTTTATGTTCAGTTAACAGTACAAATGTTAATAGGAAGTTTTCTGCATAGTTTGATCAGAAGACTTTGTTGACTTATTCTCTGTGTGCTAATACATGACAGTAATACAGTACATTATTCTGTTTCCTCACCGGCAGGTCATTGGACATCCTCTGCAGCTGCTTGATACTCTGGCTAAGTGTACTCTGTGCGTGAGGAAAGAAACACAAACTGTGACCAAATATAGCACAACTAAACTACACACATCTAAACTACTCATTAACAAAAACCTATCACATCACTTCACGCCACAGCTGTCACAACATTAACAACACTGCTACCACAAAAACACGCACAAAGACCGCTGTTATGCATGTATGAACAGCAGCTTACCCGCGCTCTGACATATTTCTGTCACCATTTAATAAACGAAAAGGAAGAAGAAAGAAAACAAGGAAAGTTGAGGAGTTGAGTTTTACAATATACACTTAGATATTTGACAAAATAAGAAATAATGTACATTGTTTTTGTTGCAAATTTTGTGCAAATATTTATATCAGCTGTTAATAAGACTCAAAATGAACCTGAGGAAATCATATGTGCAAAATGCTTCAAGATGCTGCACATTTTGTTCCTTCTATTATTCATTCTATTATTACTCTGTTGGTAAAAGAAAGGTGTTTTTTGGACGTAGGGGAGGATCTGTGTTTATTTGTGCATAAATATGAAGTGAAGGTGTCTCGTGTTTAATTTGCGAGATGATTACCATTGCTTGCTCCATGGGAACCACCTGTTCTCTGTGAATTTGTCTGATACTGCTGGCGTGTCCTTTCAGTGCGTTCTCCAGAGCACCACGTGGCTGCAAAACACACACACAGATTAACACACACACACACACACAAAGAGCTGAGGGTGCAGTAGTTTGTTGAAGATAAATCTTTGCGATGATTAGGTGATGAATATTTACTTAGTGATTTATTATTCCTTCCTTCCTTCCTTCCTTAGGAATACATGCACACACTAATCCTTCTGTGGCATGTCCTACGTGTCTTTAAATGGCACAGCTCCTGTACTATGCACTGTATGTGCAAAAATGTGTGTGTGTGTGTGTGTGTCTTAAGGGTGAATGGGCGGCTTGTTCACACTAAAAAGCCCGATCACTGAGCATGAAGAGGAATCATTTTCCAGAGGGGCTTTCCAACTGTACATTTAGTCTTGTTGGTTTAAGAATATTTTATGTTTTCTGTCGCATTACTCCCGTCTACAACATGTCAATATTAATTAAATGAACAAACTAATTAGACGTGTAGAAAACACAAAAATCTCTAAAGTCAACCCCCTGGGTTCAAGGTATTTTAAGCCCAGCCAAGAAGGTAAAGCGACAGAGGGATATAGATGAGGGACACTCAGCTTACTTTGCCTGGGGGCCACTTTTGCAAAATGACAGGAGGTCAGGGGCCAGTTAATAAACAAACAATAATATTTATCAGATAAACACGGCAATTTCTGTGTAGCACCCCCAGGGGTTAGGTGTACACAGGGGTGTACAGAGGTGCAGTAAACAGGCTATATTTTGATGCTTTTTATGCACTCTGACACCTTATTTACATTCAAAGTGCAAAAGAAATCCCAGTGTGAATCAGTTTATTTTCACTGTGAATTAGAGAATAGTCAGCAGGCCACCCGGCACCCTGCCCGCAGCCTGAAGTATCACTGGTGTAGGTGATTCAGTTTAGGTCTGTGATGAACACTACAGTTGTTTAGCCATTAGCTGCACTTGAGCAGCAACTAAATGTGACAGATCCCTGCATCTCATCAAACTCATCATACCTCATCAGAGTCCAATTACTCTATGCTGTCTATGCATTTGCATCATGTTGTTGTAATCTGTTGGTACGATAATAAAGAGACTCACCAGTTGGTCTGCCTGAGCTTCCAGGTCAGTAGAGAAGGTCAAGAGATCCACGAGAGTGACTCCCTTATTTACCTTGAACAACACAACCGAGACATTCATTCATAAAGCAGGTATAATACAGTTTTAGATTCCATCAATTTGCTCAACTTTTGTTTTTCATTTTAATTTCTGCTAAGCCTTGTTTTGGATTAAGTTTGGATTTGATGTTGTTTACGTTCGATGCAAAGTCCAAGTTGAATTTTCCAAAGATTCTCTTTATCATGCATATTAACAAAAATATGAGCTAACAACATTTTATGTTTGCATTTGTATCCTTTTTACAAGGGAATAAGATTACTTTATGAACAGAGAGAAACTTTTGCTTTTTTTTTTGGAAATATTACTTCAAATTTTATTACATATTATAAGAGTTATACTTATGTTTAGTTTATTATAATAACCAGGACACAAATGAGTTGCATTCACATACAAAAAGAACAACATTGTGTGTCTGTCACTGGTGTGATTTAGATTAATTCCTGGAGACTTAGTTGAACCTTAAAATTATACTATGCAGGATTGTCATTTATTGTTTGTAAACACGCTCGCCAGCAAAACTGAAAGTAAAAGCCAGGCCCAGATTCACTTCACCTGTGGCTTACAGTCTGGCACCTGGACGTTACCTTTACATAAAGCCCCAACCTCACTTGAGCGCTGTGGGGGTATACACCCATAAATGTCCCAAACATGAAAAATAACAAGAAAATACAGGCAGAGGGCAGAGTCTCTGTCGAAAAATACAACACCACACACTTCTAGTGGGTCATAAGTGATGACTAAGAGGGATTACTTCTGTATAAGTCTATATATTGTTTTTTAGGAAAATCCTGCATAGTGTGTCTTAAACTGAAAAGTACAAGTACAAGTATTAGCCTATAAATAAATCTTTTACGATGTGGGGACCTGCATTTTCCCCATACAGGAGGAAAGGTACTGCGCACACACACCCACACACCCACACACAAAGATCACCTCAGCCAGGTAGGCGTCATAGTCGACCTGTCCCACTCCAGAGTTGGCGAAGTTGATGAGGTTGTCTCTGCCGGCCTGCTCCAGCAGCGTGATGTCCTGCAGGTTGACCTGCACACTCTCAAACACTTTTGCCAGATCCTTGTTGTACTGTTGTGAAACACAAACATAAATTGATAAGATGACCTCTCAGCTTGCTCCACCAATGCATCAGTAACGCAGATTTTCATCAGAATATTCTACACAGTAAACTGACACATACCACAGTTCTGTTGAGGAAGGAGTTTATGTTGAACATTGTCTCCAGCTGCAGAGAATGATACAGGCCGTTGTTCTCATAGCAGTCCCTATGAGACAGACACAGTATGGTCACAAACTGACACTCCTCCAGTGTAAATGTATATGCATTATACAGCTCATTATTGTGTGAGTTCATTGGAGTTTATTTTGAACATTAAAAGAGTGATTCTTCATAAAATCAGGGTTTAAACTGGGTTTTAAAAAACGGAACTTTCTGTCACTAAACACACGGTAACATTCAGTAAACAATGAGCTTTATGTACAGTATGTCCAGCACTAGCTGTTGGCACGTTACCTGTACATGCTTCCCAAAGTCAGGTCAATGTTTGGGTTCTGAAACAGCATCCCAGGAAGGAAGTTCTTCTTGGCAGGATGAACCAGGTATGGTGTGTCTATGATCTACACACACACACACACACACACACACACACACACACGCATATTCATCAGCACAGAGCCACAGTGTTGTCCATTATGTAACACGATCTCACTTCGTAAAACTCTCTCCAAGATAAACACAGAGAGAGGCAGAGAGGAGTATGAAAATAAGATGATTCAGAAAGGAAGAGTTTGTTTTCTGCACCTTGAATAGCTGTCGGTTAGCGAGCGGCTCACACACCATCTTCTCCACGTTGCCACCAACAACAAACAAGGTGGTGACGATGGCCATCAGCACCCAGGCGAAGATGAAAGAGAAGCCCACCCCACTGAAAGAGCAAGAGACAGAGTGTGGGAAACATAATCACACAAAAACATAAGCTAAGTTTTTCCTTCAGACTAATTAACCGACATCTATCCATCCATCCATTATCTATAACCACTGATCCTTGACAGGATCCCAGCTGACAGTGTGCGAGCACCCTCCTGGACAGGTTGCTAAACTATCTCAGGGCTGACACATAGGGATTCACACCTTCAGGCAATTTAGAGTCAAGAATTAACCACAACTGCATGTCTGTGGACTGTGGGAGGAAGCTAGAGAACCCAAAGAAAAACTCTCGCTGTGAGGCAACACTGACAACCACTGCACCACTGTGCTGCCCTAATTAACCAACATTCAGGTTCCAGTTTTAACTTGTTGGCTTTTTTTTTTTAGTAACTGGTGAGCTAAAAAACCACCTGCTAAGAATAACTTGTTACTGTTGAAACACAATGTTAAGCAGGGACAAAGCTGCAAAAATTGTAAATTATGGTACCTAAGGGTGTATGAAACTGAACATTGGCCACATTTTACCAATTCAGAACCTCATATCAACTGATATTCATTAATATATGAAATAAAATATATAGATAACTGCTCAACACAACAGACATCTGCTTTTTGTCATTTAAAATTAGCTGAGCGTTAACTCCAAACAGTTCAGTTCAGTTTTATCAAAAGCTTCAAACGTTACTGCCTGAGTAGTAGTATTTTTTAGTTTGTGTTACTTTCTACATTTGACAAAGTCCCTCTCAAACTGTTATATTTCCCCCATAATCTATCTTTATGTATATCTGCTACAGTTATAAACCTTTCACACAGCAGACATGTTTGACTTGTCAGAGTAGGAAAAGCACAGGCGTATCTAATACCATTGATTGTGGCTGAGTTTCACTGAGTTGTACCAGAAAGAAGTAGCAGTGAGACAAGCATGGACAATAGCAGGACTGCGGAACTGACACGCTTAAATGGTTTGCAGCTAACATCATTGTTATAAGTTACACCTGCATCACGAGTCAAAATGTCTGCTGTGACAAAGGCTGAGGCTGTTTCTGAAATCACTCATTTACTATATTGTGTACTATATTAACTGTCTGCTATTTTGGTGTAACTGTTTAGTGGCTATCAAATAGGGAGTAATGAATGAGTAAATGAGGAATTGATGTCCGTCACTGCTCTACTCTCCCTTCAGTTTGAGTGTTGGTTGTTGTCTTGGTAACATACGCCATTAGCAGGTTGCCACCGGTGTTTGACAGGCAGCCTCGGGTTGTTGGCGTAGCTTGCTTGTCATAGCCGCAGGTGCCACACAGCAGTCCGAGGATGTTGAAGGCCAAGACGAGGACGACCATACAGAGCACCGCCACACAGCCGATCCACCTGCAGCACAGACACACACAGGGCTGTCATTTGTGGGGACACAGTGCTGACCATAATAACAAACATATTAACAGATTTTTTGGTCACTTGGGGGCAGCAGAAACAAAATGTTTACATGACACTGATATCATCATCACCTTTTAAGAGGATATGGAGGAGTTGATTGTAACACACGCAGAGCAACATTATCATTCATTGGAGTTGCATTTCTGGCCACCTGGCAATGTAAATCCAATATTTACATTCTCTTTTATTTAGCTCTGTTATTGATCTCTGCTAATTCCTTAGGAAAATATCTGGCTCTTTAGCTGTTAAATGCTCTAGTCTCTAACTGTGTCTGTCTGCTGATTGATGCTGAGCAGGTAGTGTACAGTGGGTTTTTAGAGGTTTTTTGCCGAAAACAGCTGCCTGCTGCCGCTGAAAGCTACGCTATGAGAATAGTGAGAGTGACAGGGTTCCTACACATTTGGAATTTCAAAATTCCATACTTTTCCATACTCTAATTTTTTTTGTTGTTTTTTTTCAGAGAATATGCACCATCTGAGTAAATATATCAGTGTATCATATTTCACATCATATTTAATTATTCTTAATAGGCGATTGTAGCCAAGTACCATAATGGCATGCAAATAAAAACTCAGGTAAGTTCAATGTCTGGGCTGAGGCAAAAAGGTTGGGACTCTGGGTGCAAGCGATGCAGTAACGAGACGTCGGTGTTTTTTCCTTTCATGTGGCTCAGAATCGCCTTCTCCCCCATGTTGGCGATGTCAAACAATTTCACACAAAGCTTGCATCTAGCTCTGTGTGTGAATGGGGAATCCTTGGCCAACCAGTATTTATATATGGTATTGTCAAGCCATCCATCCAAAAACTTGCATCTACCCATTGTGAACCATGTGAAACTCGTCTTCTTGTCGAAGGTGCAGTGTTGGAGTGAAACTTGATACCTGGGGGGCTAGAGGAGGGTCATGGGGCAGCGGACTGGACATACCACTTGTCAATCAGGTAAAAGGGGCGGTATGTTTTCTGAGACGTTTGCTCTCACACAAACTGTGCTTGGCCCGGCATAAAACATGATCCGGATTGATTAAATTATTTTTGGAAATACCTAATTTTCTATTTTAGAAAACAATATTTTAGAACAGTGGTAAATAGTCTGGAAACATAAATATTTTTCCATACTTTATTTTTCATTTTCCATACTTTTTAATACCTGGAAATTGATCAAATTTATTTCCATACTTTTCCATACTTTCGATACTTGCGTAGGAACCCTGGAGTGAACCAAAACAATAAAGATGCAGGCCTGACAGCTAAAAAATGATCTGAAACTTGATATAAAGCTTTGTAAATCTGAGGGGAGCAAAAAGTTGCACTTGAACGCAGTGCAAAGACTACAGCCAATGGTCAAGTACCAAGTATGTTCTGCACCTGTGCGACAACTCGATAGCAACAGACAGTAATAGTTTATATTTGTCATTCAAAAAGGGAAACTGGAAGATCAACAGGGCAGGTACAAGTCGATAGTTAGCCAGTTTAACAACACATTAACGTTAACAACTCAACCTGATGTTGAAAGAGCAAAAAGTATTTATTGTGTGCTAGCAAATAACACAAAATGCTAAAGAGCTAAATGTTTTCCTTCCCTGCACCAAGCTAAACAGCCAATCAGAGTGATTTCATTCACCAACAGGCTCCGCTGTCTCCAGCGCTGGCTGAACATGTTGAATTGTCCTAAACGTCAACAAGGGCTGACTAGTGCCAACTGTGCAGGACATACCGCCAAAACAAGGGTGACAGACGCTCACCAACGGCCTGATACTGACCAACAGCTGACCATTGGTTTGGTGTATCATGGCCCTAAGCCTTAAACCTTAAAAAAGTATTAACCTTAAAGGAAATACTTAACTTTGTGGAGGCCAAAGTCTTGCAACCAAGACTGGATTTTGTCCCCATAATGTCAGTGATTTATGTCCCCAAGACCTGATTAATAAATATACACATAAAAACACATATGCACAAACCTGTAAAAATCCATTTGGTCAATTTGTGGGTAGTAGGCCTCGATCTTTTTCTGTCCGTCGTTGAGGAAAATGGTGAAATTGGCCAGAGAAGCTTCCACTGGGAACATTTTGGAGAAGCTGTTGATCTCTGTGCCAATCTTATCCAGCATGCCTTTTACTCCTGCACACAAACAAAAAGGAAAAAGAAAAATCAGAAAGCAGCATGAAGAAGTGCATTTTTCTATATCAACTAGAAAACCTGTAAAATCAGAGGTGCTAACAGTGAGAAATGTAAAATGTAAAACAAAGTGTAAAGGGACAAAGAAGGACTTACGAGGCAGAGCTGTGGTTTCATCATTCACAAGCGTGCAGGTGAAGGCGGGAAAAGAAAAAAATAGAAAGGTGAAAGACTACAGTCAGATTTGATGTCATTTCTAACTAGGATGGAAAACAGCTCCATTTATACAGCTATATACAAACAGCATAAACACACACACACACACACACACACACACACACTCGTGTACCTGAGACAACATTTTTAGTTTGTTCTTTAACCAGTTTTGGTGTATCATTAAAGGATGAGTAACCCTGCAGGTGGAAAGTAAGAGAGAAAAGATGATTAAAAATATATATCTGTTTGTTTTAACTAGGGTGTGTTGCAGGAATATGATGGGTGAAAAAGAGAGTGACAACATGAACAGTTGTGACAGGGTGACGACTGAGACAGAGACAAACCTTTTGTACAATGTTGCTGAGGTCTGTTCTCAGAACAGTATTGACATTGGCCAAGGCATGATTGACATCTGGGAGCTGACAGACAGAGAAAGAAGAAGAAGAAGAAGAGTAAATATGGCAACTAAAATGCTTGTTTCTATGGAGATAGTTCTGTCTCAATATTATTTGTGTGAACAGACAGACAATTTGTGTGTTAATGTGTAGTCTGTAAACATAAAACCACCTCCAAAAATACAAAAAAGATTTGCAAACCCACAAAACCATTATGCAAATATATCACACAGCTGCAAAAATGCAAATAAATAAAAAAAAACATATTTTATAAAATATTTTGTATTTGTATTTGTGGAGGTTGTTCGATCTTTACAGATTACACATTTACAAATGGATTCTCTATCTCCTCAAAAGTAATATTGAGACAAATATATCTCCATAGTTTCCATTTATTGTCAGATTTTGATTTGCATCTCATGTTTCAGACAATCTTTAGCTCCTTGGTACCCTGGAGAAGTCAGCGTTGATTCCCAGCTGGGACAGCGTGGAGCGGATGGCGTTACAGGTGGGAGACACAGCTCCATTAGTGCAGGCGGGGTCTGACAAGGTGTTAGACAGAGAGGCGCGCTCCCCTGATAGACTGGCCTGAAGTTTTCCCGTCCCCTCCTGAAGAACCTCCAAGGAGGAGCTGACGTTCTCTAGGGCCTCTTTGGTCTCCCGCATAGCTGCAAGAGAAAGAGGAAGGATGACAATGAATCAAAAACTAACATTTTTTGACAAAACCTACACTTGTACTAAAATAATCCACAACAGAGTATGGTTTTGTATTGTCAAACTGGTTGAGCCTCAAAGGATTTGCACAATCACAATTCATGCAACCACCACAGAACTACCCAACAATAACACTGACCACAGACCAACAACCCACAACCGGAAAGCACAACAGAAGACATCTCATAGGACACAACAGAGGGGCAGATCAGCAGAACAGCTCTGATTACCTTTGATGGCACTCTCAACTTTTGCTTTAGATAAAAAGAAATGCGAGGAAATCAAAGAGGAAAAAAGAAAAGTTAAAATAGGGTGAGGTTATGCCCTTAAAATACACACCAGGACTCTGCAGTGACAAGACCATGAAAGGACTCTTAAAAATATGGAACAAGACCAGAGGAAATTTTTTATTGTTCTAAGAAACCTCCTTTTTGTTGAGTCTGCACCATGCGAACGAGGAACAATCCTAGTTTTAAAAATGCCGTTTTGGGGGACTTTTTTGTAGCTCTTATTCTGGAGTAGGTACGTTCCATGCACAAAAGGGACCATGACTGACATTAATGTATGTCGATTGGTCCCAATGTAGGTGTATGTTGATGGGTCAAGCACAGCCAATGCAGCACAGACAACTGCCAATTTTAAAAACCCATTAGCCAGGTAAACAACAGATAATACAAAACACTATAACAGCTCATAACAACTGAATTTATATTGTGACAAAAATAGTTCATGGCCAAAGAGGTCTATCCTTGAATTTCAAAATAAATACCACTAATCAGATGACATGACAAAGGAGATGATGTTTCAGCTCAGCAGCATCAGCACTGCAGTGACACTACATGTCGACTGTTTGAGATAAAGAGGAGGTGGTTTTAAAAGCTTAGTGTGTGTGTTACCTCCTGCCATACGCAGCGCAGTGTCCAGCGAGGGAACCACCTCTTTCTCCAGCTGACTGTGGATCCTCCCACCCAGCAAAGGTCCAATGTCTGTCAGGAAACACAGACAGATCAGACAGATTTATGACAACACTACAGTTACATATTACTGCTGTAGGTAAACACAGGCAGTCGGAGGCAAACAACGTGAGAGACATGAGACAAACAGTGTGTGTAAACAGTCTAAGTTCAACTCACTGTCGAGGTCTGACAGGACTTTGTTCTTTGCTGTGGTGTACTGGGCTGTCAGGTATTCGATTTGCTGCAACAGAAAACACACATTACACATTCAAACATGAGGTCTGGTGTATGTGTGTGTTATACATGGGAATGCATCTGTGTGTGTGTGTGTGTGTGTGTGTGTGTGTGTGTAGGGGCATACTGCAGGTGTGTTGTTGGCAAATGTCTTCAGGTCTCTCATATTGGTGTTGATGAACCGCCGAGTGCTTTTAATCTGGGCGCTGACATTGTGGTTCGCTGCATAGGCAATGAGTACTCCCAATCTGAAACACACACACACACGTACGGGATCAGTAAAGAAAAACAGTGTGCAGTATTCACCAGCAGAGGGCAGCATGTGGCTACATTTAAATGTATTTCTGCTGCATGGGCTTCAAAAGTCACTGACACATGAGATCAGCCTGCAAAGTCACATTTCTCTGCTTAACATGTCTCTTTATGTTTATAACTCTTTAGTTACTTCACAGCAGTAATTTATGTTTTCAATTCAGTTAATTTCAGTTAGTTGCCAGAGTGGGTTTCCTCTTTTCAGATTTATTTTCATTGTTCGAAAGTGTTTAGTTTTAGTTACATTTTTAATTGGTTTCAGTATTACTTTTTTTGTAATTTGAGGGGTACAGTATTTGTCAGGGACAAGATTTAAGTAGTTCAGAGGTATTAGAATAAAAGCACAACACTCCGTGAAAGGCAGTTGACTCAAGGTCAAGTAAACATCCTAGTCTCAATAAACATTTCCACCAATCCCTCCTTTTGCTTGTTGTGTTGACAAATTTGACCAAATTGATAAGGACTAAAACTAAAGTCATTACCTGTTTATTTTTATTTAATTTTAGCTCATTGTGCAAGTACACAATATCATATTAGTTAATTTTCATTTTCTTTTAATGTCTAGTTTCTTGCATGACTAAAATGTTGTTTTTTCCACAACTAGTTTTAGTTTTTAGTGTACTTGTAGTTAGAGTAAGAGTTTTTGTGTCAATTAAACTTTTTCATGTACAAGAACTTTGTCACAATTGTTGTATAACTGTTGTAAGATTTTGGAAAGATCTACATGATGTACAGTCAGTAAATGTACACACTCCCCTGCAAGCTTTAAATTATTTTGCAATGCATCTAGGATTTAACGAGGATAATGGACAATGCCCCAGTTTTATCCAGGATCCAGGAAGTTTGTCCAGGAAATTCTGCACATTTAGTGTTATATGCGATGGCAAACTTACTCTAATAAAGTAAGAAAGCAGGATGGACAATGCTGTGACAATTCACTGGAAGTCTGGCAGGGTGCTGAGCTGATGATGTGCAAACCTTCAGCTTTCAGAGTTTTTGTTAATTACTGCAGTAATGTTACGGCTGTGTGTTCTTCCTGAACTTATTTATTACTTTTTAAAGGTATTTAATTCATCATCCAGATAACTGATCTCTTTTAGGCTGCTTAACCGAAAGTAAAGATTTGACTGAATGTCTATAAACAAACAAAGAATCTTCTGTGGGAGAGATTATGAAAGAATCATATTAACAAACCCTGATCAGATAATGTCTGCACATCTCCAAATGGCTACAACGTGCTTCATGTACCCATATGTGCATGTGTGTTTTTGTATGCGTGAGCACGCATGTTTGTGATGTGAAAGCATTCATTCAGACAGAGCGGCCTCTGACAGTCAGCCAAGTGATATCAGTAACACCTAACTGTCCTGCACAGTTTGGATTGTGTTTCTCTGACCGTGCACCTGCTCCTTATACACAGCAGGTAAACTGCAGACAGGTTCCAGACTGTGGGGGAGCAGATGTTGTTAAAGGGAAACGCCACTGATTTTACACCTCAAAATTTGTTTACAGGTCTTGTGGAGCACTACGGGACACTGCTATTGTGTAAAGCCTTTTGTGGCTCAGAGGGAGCTGTAAAAATGGGATAAACTGCCTTGAGTGATGTCACTTGAGGTCGGTGGAAGTTTCAAATGAAATGAAAATGTGGAGTCAGAAAGAGGTGCGGTCATCAGACCTCTGAGGCCAATTCCTCATCTCTTCATGGGGCTCGAGGCTACATTATTAGCTAAAAGCATAACAAACTGAATCTCTGACTAAACTATCAGCTGTCACGTTGCATTGTGGGTAACCAAGGCACCAGGATTTGACAAGGAAAAAAAATATGTGGCATAAAAAAGACTACATTTCTAGTTCAACTGCATCAATTTTGAAATTTTAAAATGTCTATCATGAGACTGATAATGTTACAGGAGTTCAGTGCTAAGTCAGCAGAGCACACTTTTAAGAACCAACATATAAAAATACTTAAACATGCAAAAACAGTGCAACAAAAGGTTTGTACATACCTTGAGTTTTGCATAATTTGTTGCACTATAAAATAATTTTACAGTGAAATTATGTTTACTTCTGATCTGGGATCATTAAGTTAATTTTCATTAAGCTCTTTGCAGTGATGTTTTTGTCAATTTTAGTGTTACTTGCCTTTAATACAGACAGTACAAAGATTGCAGGAAGTAAGGGGGAGAGACAGATGCAACACATGCCTCTGGGCCAGACTCGAACTGGGTGTTGTGTCTAATATAGGGATGCCAATATATATTGAGCTGATAAATTACTGGCCCATAATGGGACATTTAAATTATTATGCATTATTCCAATAACTAAAATTATAACTGATAAATAGCACTGATAATATGAAGTCAGACTGCTTTCATTGACTTACCAAGGGCAGCATCTACACACCCTGAAAGTGTGTGGCGGTACATGTAACTTCAAACTTGGTTTGCAGGCCGCAAATAAACACAGACAAGAAGAACAACAACAACTGCAGCACGCTATCTAGAGGGTAAAACATGTTGCAGCGTGGATGTCTTTCACAGTTCCAGAGGAAGACAACAGGACTGAGGGTAGGCCATATGACAATACCCCAGAAAATCTCCCTCTTTTTCACAGTGTTAACAATAGTGATGTTGGGTTTGATTTGGTTAGGTCAGGGCTATGGAATATTAAGTCAGCCATATTTTCTCACTACATATTAGCCTTTCTTATGCTCAGGTGTACATAAACTACAGGTTATACACTTCTTTTTAAAATACAAAAATGTGAAATTATTGGTTATCGGCCATAATAAGCAGATAATTATTGGTTATAGGTATTGGTTGAAAAAAATCCATATTGGTGCGTCCCTAGTTTCATAGTCATATTCATCTCTAAGCCTACTAATAGTCAATTTTAGCACATTAGGGTGAATTTAAATTTAGAAAACATTTGTGTGCTGGTTGCTTTGGGATCTACAACTTAAAGTTTAACAAGACATACTTCCCTTTCTGTTGATATATACATTTTAACGTATATAATTAAATACTTTTTCCAGTATCCAGCACAGTACAGTGTATCCAAAAAACACCCTCCAACAACCCATCAGAATCCAGTGATCCAGGATGCACACAATAAGAACAGAGTACCACTAATAATATGTAGGTTTATCTGATGGAAATAAAAAATAATGCTCACAGTGATGATTAACAAGATGATAATGATGATAAAGACTGAACTGAAAATAACGACAACTCACATGATGAAGATGGAGGTGGCGATGAGTGAGGCGGTGTAGAAACCTCTCTGACAGTCGACGTTCTTTCTCTGTCTCTGGTGCATCTCCCCTCCGCAGTTCTCACAGCATCGGCACACACAAAAGCACATGCCTATAATCGGGGTGAGGACCACGAAGAAGATACCGAGGGCCGCACATATGAGGAACCCAGCCTCGTAGTAAATCCACTGCAGGAGGGAGAGGGTTCGTACAATCATCATTCCTCATCACACAGTCATTTCTGAGATATTGCAGAGTGTATTATGAGAACACAGTGGTATGAGTTTACCTGTAGTAACAGGACCACATTTTCTGGCTGCAACCCCATAGCACATGCACACCGATGCATGCAGAAAAGCACGTGTACGTGAACACATACACAAAGCCAAAGGGACACAACGAGAGACAGAACAAGGTCAGTGTGACAGCCAGGAGATTAGGAGGAAGCAGAATTCCAATTTTTAAAGAGGGATGTGAAGGCAACATCAAGATTCAAGGTAGAGGAAAGATGAAACAAGAGAAAAATTATTTCAAACAAGCTCAAACCAAATCAGGGGACTCCCAAATGTCTAGCTAACATCACAGTTATTAGGCTGTGATATAATCTAACTTTGATTTTTACTGTTATGTTCAAAGTATTTCTTTATATATCACACAAGGTCTTTTGAATGACACACACTGTAAGGCCATAAAACGTTATTTTAACATAAGTTGCAAGAACATAAATCAAGGAATACATTTATCAGTGCAACACTGCAATATCAAAACAAAAGTTAATCTCACTCATCTCTTAAATTAAACGTACCTTTCTCCATTCTTCGATTTTGATTCCCCCCATGTTTTGCTGAATGACTTGAACAATCAAATCTGAAAAAAAAAAAAAAAGAACAGATAGGTGACCACTTAAGTAACAGGTCTTTCAACCCACATACATGTATTAATAATCACTTGTCCGTCAGTGTTTCACATGCAGTATGCTGCTTGTAGGTGACTCCCACGCCAGTTTCACAGACAATCAAACACACATTTGAGAAGCTACGCTGCCGTCAAAATCCATTCATCTGTTCACGCACAGACAACACAGATTATGGGGATTCATATTTTAATTTCCGAGGACAGTATTGTGGATCTATTTCCTCATATATCTAACAGCTGTGCGTTGCCATGGAGGCTGTTTGAACTGTGTCGCTTGCCATGAGGACTACAGTTCAGTCCAGCTGTCTGTGTTTATATAGGTCAGCCAACACTAAGCCTACCTGGTTGGGGACTCACCCCGACTGTTACTCAGCAGGTAAACACTGATGCCTTCACACACTAACAAGAACACTTGTATGCATGCGCACAAACAACACAAACATGCTTCGTAGACAGTCCGTGCACTTGACAACATGTACAGTAGAAAGATAAAACAAATTATGTATAAGCTGATATATTTAAATCTACAGCTCACAGAAGCGAATGCGTGCACAAAAAACAGCAATGGAATTTACTCAAGTACTGAACAGTTTTGAGGTGCTTATACTTTTCATTTTATTGCTCACTTTTTTTAAATACTTCTACTCGGCTTATTTTAAAGGGAAACACTGCATTTTTTAACTCTACCACATTTATTTCAGAAACAAATTCTGATTAATATTTTATTATTATAGATTAAGCTACCAGCCAGTATATAAAGTACTTAAAATTAGGTCCAACTTTATCAGATACAACATTCGTGTGTGCCAACAATTAGAATCCAATATCTACACACATATCTATAATTTTGAAATTGACAAATATCTTACTTTTGGTACTGTCAATATATTTTGAGACTACTTCTGTAAAAATTTTCAGTAGTTGAAGTTGTTAAGTAAAAGACCTGAATACGACTTCCATCCAAGCGACAACCTCAGGGCTGAAAAATAAAGACAACGCCAAAGGGCCGAAAAATGTAGTTCCTTGAATGGCCACTTGAGGCTGGCTCCGAAGGCCAGTAAATCCCCGTAGTTAAAATATCCAGCTGTACAGCAGAAGTGAACATGTTTACAGCCTGGTACAAAAACGGTTCTGGTCTCTATAGCTAATTTTAACTGTCAGCACAACTCCAACTGTAAGTTTTATATAACTCAGCCATTTACATTTTATTGTGGCTTAATGTTACACACAATGTGAAGTGTGTGTGTGAGGTGTGTGTGTGAGGTGTTGCTAAAGTCTATGAGTCAGATCCCCTTGCTCCTCCACAGCTCCACCCTCTTATGCCAATATGGTCACTTCTGGCTCCTAAAACCAAGATGGCGATGCCCAAAATGTTGAATTTGAGGCTTCATAATGGCAGTCCACAACCCAGTGGGTGATGTCACGGTAGCTATGTCCATTATCATATGATATATGCTTCCACCTATTTATTTGGACAAACACTTACCTACAGTATATAAAAATTGAGCACTACTTATTTGAAGCCGCGTAGATAGTCAAGGCAATATTTTCCAGTGTTTATAATCAGTATGGCTAGTCCTCTCAGGTTGGTACAGTAGATGCCACTGCAAACAGCAAGCAGATGGAGGCCAGTTTAGCATGTAAATGCTGACACAGCTGTCATACAAACACACAACACACACACACAAACTGAAACACTGTGTGTCTCTTTTGCCTTCTGCTGGCACACCTGCTGACTCTTAGGTGAGGTGAGAAAGCACATGCAACTAAAATGTAGTGTGATTTGTTTGTAGCCCTCTTACGTTTAAAATGTTCCAGTAAATAAGTTACTTTATTAACTTCCTATAATATGCTGTTGTGTTTATCCTCTTTATTGTGTCATGCTCTGTCTCTCCACATTTTACATAGCAACTAATGATTATTTCTGTTAATGATTAATCTGCCAATTGTTTTTCTGATTAATAAAGTTATCTTTTTCTCAATAAAATGTCACAAAATATTGAAAAATCCCCAATATGATTTCTTAGAGTCCAGTTTCTTGACATTCCTTGGGGGTTCACTTTACGATGTGAGAAGGTTCAGCATTTGAAACAAATCCTGATGGCCACAAGAATACTTTAACATTTTGTCTAGTATACCAAACAGTGTCTACGGAGGGTTTAATGAGATTTTTGTTTTTTCCTCTGTTGAATGATTGGCTGCCTCCAGATCATGTGAGGTTTTCAGTCTGCACTTTAAAAGTAAAAATGCTTCAGACTAAGCCTTTCTGGTGAGTAAAAGGAGCTGAGATTTTGGATATCTTTTGTGACCATATGGATAATCCTCTCAACGCCATCCTCCTGTCCTGCTGGGAGGTGACTGCCTTACTTTTCTCAGAAATAAAACTGCTTCACCTGGAGGAGACCTCACACCGTCATGTAGGGTGAGGACCTCTACCTCTTTTAACTCTGCAGATGCAGCATGCGAGCACATCTGAGTCACACCGATGCCACCTGTTGTTGCTCAGGTACTTAGTTAGCATTAGCCACCGAGGACAGTTAAGCTTAGACAGCTTAGTTCAGTGACCCACTAGGAGAGGCAGCTACTGCAAACGAAAGGAAGGGAGGTGGGATAAATGACCGTCAGAGCAAGACCTGAAAGGATGAGCAGACCACTGCCCAACTTAAACTAACGTGGCTCTTGCAAAAGTCAGGATGATGAACTGATTTCGTACAACACGTGCATATATTACATGATATTTCGTGTTTTGTTTTTTTTAGTTTCTGATTTGACCACAAACCACATTTTTAGTATCATTGTCGTTGATAAAAATGAAATGTGTGTGTCTTGACTTTTTTTTCATAATAAAAGGCCTTTAAAGAAACCCTAGTTGGATCTATTAGTGTTTTCACTTCAGTGAAGCAAGATGGAGCAAACACTGTATCAACATCATGACAATCACACACGGGTTCATAGAGGCCACCGTAAGGCTGAAAATGTCAACAGCAAACCACCAAACAGTGTTGCTAATTAGCTGTTGTGATATGTAAGTCAGTCAGAAACAACAACCCTCTTACTGCAACGTGTAAATATAGGCCCGCACAATCCTCTACACTGAACCGCTCTGAGAGATTACTGGAAGGTGTGGACAGAGCCTTATGCAACCTGACAATCACGTCTACTTTTCACAATATAGGACTCATTTAAAGTAAAGAAAAAACACTTTCCGTCCCACGTACACAAAACAAAGAAGGCTGGAGCAAACATTTGTATGACTGCATCCTCCACTGACACTGTTAATCATGTATTTTGGATGTGTATTTGCCAACTTGTTTGCTTATTTGAGGCAATACAGAAAAACTTGAAGTTGTAACTTGAAGCTGAGTTTCATAATGCTTACTTTTGATAAAATGGATTTTTTGGAAATATATAGTCACAATGTTGCCACTGAAATTATTCAAGCTTTTATGCTTTTAAGAGAAAGCAAGCTTTTTAGTGGAAGTGATGACGAGGGTTGGTCTGTCTCTGTTTCCTGGACAGTGGAGCTGACCTTAACACTTTAACTACCCTACTGGAGAAATGCATGTTTCAGATGATTTAAAAAAAAAAAAAAAAAAGCTATGATATTTGTGCTTTCACAGAACATTTACGCTATCCAATGTTTGATAAATCATCATCAGTAATGTGGATTTAATGACTAAGCAGGTAAAGGCAAATAATAGAACAGCGAGAACAGTCTGGTAAGGTCAGAAAATTATATCAATTTACTGTAATACAGCTTTTAAAACCAGGAAAAGACAACACTTATGACATTATGATATCCAAAGTCTAGGACAATATCTCGTCTCATATCATGATATGGATATAGCTAATATCAATTTATTAGCCAGCACTAGTGGAGTCCATGGTAGGTAAGAGTACTGGAAAAAGACATTATCACTCCTTAAAATTAAGCAATATCTACTCATAACAAGTAGCACATGTTTATGAGCTGTGAGCAGTTTAATCGAATAGTGATTCACATCTGAGATAGATTCTAAAAATGAAATACAAACACCTGCTGCAAATCATACAGTGCTTCTAGAGTTTTATTTGAGAATTTTTTGAGACCCGAAAAGGTAGAACTATCCATTATGTGACAAGAAAAGGGCAAACATCAGAGAAAAGCCTTTTCTTTCCTATGCGGCTAACCTCAGATTTACCCTGTGACCTCTCGTAAGGGGTCCTGGTCCCCCAGGTCAGGAACCTCCAATTTTGAAAAAAGTTTAACATTGGGATGACAAAGTGAGATTTAAAAGAGCCAGGGTCACTCCATTAGTATGAAAATGTATTACAAGACGCAACGTTAAAAGTAAGTGATGACGCAAGCTGCAGTTTAAAAGGTGTTACGATGTTACGTAGCACTTACTGTATTTGACTTTAAATACTCCTCACTGTACAGTATGTTTTACTCAGCATTACACAAGGCTGTAAGTACAGTATGTATTTTCATGGCACCAGGAGCTAAAGAAAGTTACACAGCCCACTGTGAGCTGGAGCAAAACAACTAAGAGGATTATGTGGTCTTTTCCCCCTGTTTGCATCAGACACTTCATTAGACGCTTCCCACAAGAAATCAGATTTCAAGTTTAGATAAAAAGAGATAACAGACTGTAACAGTTATTTTCATTACTGATTAATCTGCCTGTCATTTCACTGAATAATAGACTGATTGCCTGTCTATAAAATATCAGTAAATAGCAGAAAACGCCAAAATATCTACTATCACAACTCTAAGAATATCAGAAAATATTTGAGAGGCAGGAATCATTTTATTACTTAAACAATTAATTAATCTATTTGCCAGGGACTGCAGATGCAAATTAGCTGTATAGGTATCTCTACTTCAACAGCTGTGATAAAATTGTCATCCGTTGATTTTCCGTCAAAGACTTATCAATTAATTGATGTGTCTCTTATTTCAGTTCTACATGAGACACCCTTCACACTGTCCAGTCTACCATAAAAAGACACATGTTCAAAGCTCTGTGCTTGAAAATAGTTTTATAAAGTGCATAAAAGATGAACAGTAGCTGCAATCTCTATTTGTTTGGGCAGATCTAAAGCATCAATATATGACACACTGCAGTTTTTGGAGGGAGTCCTTCCTCCCTTGTCTTAAATATCCCTGCCAGACAACTAATTTGAGTTCCTCTTGAATGGAATCTCATTTAAGACATTTGCGTCCTGATAAACAACCCGTTTTCAACCAATCACAGTAATTAAGGCAAACAGACAAATACCAGGACTATGACCCACTTTCAGGACATGTGTATGTGTGCATGCCTGTACGTGCTTGCACATTTGTGTGTGTGTGTGTGTGTGTGTGTGTGTGTGTGTGTGTGACAATGCCATCTGTAGCAGTGGTAGCTGTGCAGTGTTAGCATTAGCCCTGTGGATGCTAATCCTCTAATCTACCCTGTGTGTATCAGAGGGATAAGACACGGCCTCCTCACATAGTGACAGAGTCCAAAATGTTTCTTCATCATAAAAACAACTGTCCCACAGATTTGCTAAAAGGGATGAGCAAGTCAAGAGAGGGAAAAGCCAGAAAAGTTGAAGAACCAATGACAGCCCCTTTCACAGTAATTCATACTCAGATAAAATCAGCTCGACTGGAAACCTGAAACAGTAATTACATTATTAATATGACAGGGATTTGTGGAGATTTTGTCTCAGACTTGCTGTGAGATTGTTCAAACTTCAATCCAATTGATCTGACAAGACCAATCAGTCAGCTACATACCCTCATCCTCAGTTTACCTCCCATTGATTTGCATTTCTCCATCTTAACCTCAAGTCAACCTCAGCCCTGACATCAACCAGTCACCTCTGCACCAGCTAATTATAACCTTACTCAAGCCCTTACCTCAACCCTGGACAGCAGCACTACTGGAAACATGATGGGGTGACAGCATTCAATGAAAGACTGGTATCAATATAACACTGTACTGTTCCACCAAGACCACATTTACTAAAAGTATACTGAAATGAGATATATAACACATAAGCCTCTGTTCACCAATAGTCTTCCAGATCTTTTTAGAGTTTCAGCAGAAAAAGTATGTGGAGAAACAACTCAGCAAATTGCATCCCTGCAATGTTCTAACTTGCTTGTTCAGTAGCCTTTTTGTACAGTTTAATGTACCTGGAAAATTAATCAAGATTTATCTCAGGGAAAAACCCATGTGGCTTGTGTGTAGTTGTGGTCATATGGTCATGGTGTCTCTAGGAGTAACAACCTCTTTATATTAGACACAACAATTGTTTTAGGACAGTTGTAGCAGTGTATTTCATTACTTTTACTTATTACCTACAATATGACTGCGAACTGTGTCCCATGGAGTTTAATACTATACTATTTCTTTGTGCTGTTTTTCTCATGGTAAAGGACTTTGGTGTTTTCAACCTAACCTTTACAGAGTGTAAAACTATGTGGACCAAACCCAAGAAATAAAAAAATATTTTCCATAACTCATATGCAGACAGTATATTACATGGAAACTGTTAGCAGATCCTTATAAGACCAGCACAAAGGCTGAATATACACCACACTACTACACCAGGTCATACCAGTGAGTTAACTATTATAACCAGTCCTGGCAACCTTGTGTAAGCCCTTTGAACATGCCTGAGTAAACAGTTTGTGTTATCTCATGAAGCCGAAAAAGAGAGTAAAATATTCATCTACTAATAGTCATAAACGTTTATCTTCAATATAAAGTGGAGAGAAAGAAAACAAAATGTGACCTTGGGATATTAAAAAATGAGTTGCCCAAAGCTAATTACAATATACATAATAATAAATGTTAAATTAAGAGGTAAAACTTAACCAAATACTTTATTCAGGGTTTATTAATCCAGCCATTTTGTAACTGATAGTGCTGCTTCACTCTGTTGCTGCTGAGGTAATTTAGTTAATTAAGTTAGTTTGACTCATGTGTGAGTGATGCAATTGTAAACAGTGTGCTAACTAACCTCAAGATATGTGTGTGTGATCGATGTGTGTGAGTAAAATGTATGGTTTTTCCATATAGGTATATGATATCTGATTTGTGTGTGTTATGTGACATGACATCCAGGTGGTCTCTACCTGTGCGTGTGTATGACAGTAATTCATACTGGAAAGTCCCTGGCAGTAGCAGCATATGGTCCAGTGGATTAAGGTATTACGCAGTGATGCAGGTGACTGAGAAAGCCTCCTCTAATCGCTGATCTGCTAATTGATTACCCAGCCAGCGGCACTAACCCTGGACACCAAAATGGCAGCAACTTAAAACCTTCAATCCTATTGAACAGTGTCATCCTCCAACGTGACCACTCATAGTTGTATATACAGTGCACAAACAAACCGCTTTAAATGGGTTGTAGCTCTATATATCCGTCACTGGACTGTACAACACCAGGCAGCAAAGAGGGAAACATTCACTATGTATGCATTGATTAAGTGAAAGACTTGATCACCCCTTAATCACCTCAATAATGTTAAAGCATGGGAATCACTTACGAGCTATGACAGCTATTGATCCCATTAATCTGCTCATAACACTGGTTTATGAGCTCAACAAGCACACACCTTTGATACATACAGTCCCTCCATGCACGTGCTCTTTTGACCCTGTAGCATTTTAGTTAGGAGTGTTTTTTGGAAGTCATGCGTTGAGTCAGCCATGATACAGCACAGATTTACACTCAGTGAGAGAATACAGATACAGCGGCAGTGTCAGATGATTCCTGCAACAGTGGCCTCTTTGAGGTTTCCAATGTTTTTTGGACTTTGGTGTTTATTTATGACGTAAAACATGTCAGTCACGGTCTTTGATGCTAGGGAAACAGCTAGGCCAGTGATTTCCAAAAACAAAGCAGAGCCTATGTACATGTGACTCCTCAGCACAGGTTATGGCCTCAGTATGGACATGTAAACAGTTTATGTTTATTTCCTTCATATATTGTTTCATTTGAAGGATTTTTTGAGATCTAAAGGTGTGTAAGTGGTATCCAGTATTTTATAAAAAAAAATAAAGGATGAGAGGAAAGAGTCAGAAAAATAATCAATTTTGCATGAGAATAATATACATTTCTGTCTTTCTTGTCACATTACCCCCCCCCCCCCCCCCCCCCCCCCCCCCACTCAGTTTTATCGTGGGACCCCTTGACAGGTGAGGTGTTAGTGGTTTACAGATAGACTTACACACTACTGGCCACTGTTTCTATTACAGCTATTATCCAAAACTCATGATGGCATTGGCACTGGACGAAGATTATATTCATGCACTATTATCATGTACCTCAAATGAATCAGCTGTTAACTCCAATCCCTACTTTTTTTTCACCATGTCCCCTACTTGCAGCGTGATGGACCCCTAAATACAGATCATACTTTTTGTGTCCATTCATATTTGTGCTTAATCTGTAACTTTTGTGAAACAGTAACATTGGTGCAGTTTCTGTACATTTCTGTATAGTCACATAGTCCTATTGTAACATAGATGCACCTGTTAAGATGTTTTGCCAGTGTGTGTAATTATTTTTCTTCAGGCACTGCACCATTATTTGCACTTTTTGTCACTTTTACTACATGTATATTTATTTTCTCTATTTTTTTTTTTTAATTTACTGTGTACACATGTATCTTACTATGTACTATTTACTGTATACTATGAATATGTTGTTTTTTGCATGACCATCTGTGGCACAATAATTGTGTTAAGGGTGCAAAAAATTCTCTAATCTCTCTATTCTATCTTAATTCTGATCCTACTGGGGTCACAAATTTTGGTTAGCAGCCATCCACAAACAGTATATGGCCATCAGAAAAACATTTGCAGTATCAGTGAAGCTAAAATGCCTAATCAGGTCGCTAAATCTGATGGGTCACAACTCACATTAGCCTTGCGGTTATTAAAACGAAATATGAACTATGTGTTTGTCCATAATGATTTGTACTGAAAAGAAGAAGTAATTAAAGCCATGCCAGTTGCCCTCCTGTAAGAAACAGAGAGAAGATGGAGAGAGAAGGGCACGGATGAGGAGGAGGGGGTGAGGGATAATCTCACCTTTGGGGAAGGTGTGAGGTTGAACAACGTAGAGAAAAGCGTGGACCATGTGGAAGAGGATTCCTATGGCCCCTGGCTCGTAGTAAGCGTGAGTATCATAAACCGCCGCCGGTACAAAGCCAAAGTCCAACGGCTCCACCGGTGGGGGGGACCGTTGTCTGCGGGAGTCCGTCCGGGCCTCAAGCGGGGTCCCGTCCCTCTCATCCGCCTGCTGCTCGCCGCTTGTGGCCCCCCAGCAGAGCAGCAGGGCGAGCCACTTTGTCCACAACATGGCTCAGAAAAGTCCAGCTTTGTCCCAAGAAGAACCGTTAAAACTCCCAGCGCCGGTGTACGGTGCTACAGTCCAGCGGGGGATGGAGAGGGGAGCCGAGCTGGTGACGTGAGAGGACACCTGTCCCTCTCAGCGGTTTATCCCCGCAGCAGCCGCACAAACAACCGTCCGAAGGGAAACTTTTAAACTTAACATCCAACGGTCGAGGTTCAGGCAGCCGTTAGCTCCAGCCGTTAGCTCCTGGTTTCTCGGTACGGACTCATTCTCCCGGACAAACTCCGACGACTCAACAGGAGCAAAGGCCGAGGATGTGCTCGTTATCTCGGTGTCCTCACTCTCACCGGCCGGCTGCGAGTAGCCTAATCCCGCGTGCACGTAAAACCCAAGAACGCTCGTGCTCGCTGAAAGCTCATGGCGCGCGACACCGCGGGGTCCAATCACCTGTCATCTTCGAGTACATTTACTTAAATACTGTAGTTTTGTTTATTTATTTACATGTTTTCGGAGGCATTCTCTGCTCCTACTTGATGTTTCTACTCCACTACATGTTAGAGGCAAATAATTATAACTTTATGTAATATAAATTGATTAATACTCATTATAATTATAATTAGTGTGATTATAATATAATCAACAAGTAAATTGTGATATTAATAAATCGATAAGACTTTATTCACTGGCTACCCATGAGTAGGGTGAAGTCAGGTAATGTGGGACACTTCTTGGTAAATTACCAAGAAAACTCTTAAGGCTTCTGTAAGTTTTTTTTTTTTTTCATAACTTGTTATGGTTCTCTGCTATATTTCTATGAAGAAAATATGTTGCCAAGTAAAATAATTTAGATTATTTGGACCTTCAAACACACCAAGAACCCCTACCTCACTCCAATGACATGTTCAGGTAAAATGGGACATTCATGTTTGTTTTTAAATGGCTAAATCTATTTATTAGTTTATCATTAATTCATGAAATTATTAATGTAACCTTAAAAAAGGTCATCCATCTTTTGCCATGCTTTCCCTGTTCTTTTGGTGCCATATGGTCAAACATATTTGTGCATGCATGTAATAATGATGGCTAATTTTAGACTATTGTTGCTAACATGGACTCACTACATCATCTTTAATATTTTCTAAGTGACAAAAATGCAAAAAAAATGACTCTTATATCACAAGGTGGCACACAATAGCATAACTCGTGACTTTATGGCACCTGGTAGAATAAAAAAAACTGCTCACTCAAAATCCTCTCCCATAAAAAGCAAAGTGTATTATGACAATATTTTGATTTTAAGTCAAACATTTAATAGAATGCAACATCCTACAACCATTTCTGTTGTTGTTATATCCTTATTGTTTTAGCTCCAGTGCTCATTACCAAAAAGAGAAAATCAACACGCCACTTGGTTGACCTTACAGGTCCTAAGACCAGCAGCCTAATTTTTGAATCTGTACACCCTAGTTATCTCAGACCCATAATGATTTAAGTTTCATATATAGGGCATTTGTAGTAACAATTCAATAACATGTTCAGTGACTGGCTGCTAATATTTACAGAGCCCACGGAAGACCTTAATTGTCAGATTTTACCATATTTCCAAAATTACCTGGTTTATATAAAGAGAGATTAGGTGTATTAATACTCATAATCCAATGACAGTTTGTTGCTCATGTTTGTCTGTTAACGTAAGGAAAATTTAAATGCATGACTTTTACTTGTAACACAGTACTTTGACATGACTGTAAAGGTTATGAACAGTCAATATAGGTCATCAGATTAACTCACTGAACGTCAAAATACACCTGCTCTCAATAATCCATTTCATTTAAATATGTTATTTCAACATAGTATTGTCGATTGCATACTTTTTCGTTTATACTGTCACTGTCAGGAATGTTGAGACAAGAGTTGCAGTGTGTCTGTAATGTTTACAGCTTTCTGCCTGAGCAGTAGAGGTCAGATGGCATTATGTGGCGGCTTATAAGAAAATCAAATTACATAATCTTAGTGGGCCTCTGCATGTATGTATGAATGTGAGGCAGGTCATTGACTCTATCCTGTGATCACTGAGCAGCTGACCTTCAGCTCTGTCATTCATCAAACAGACGGTCAAGACCGGTGAAATTTTGGCAAACACACAAGATTTGAGTTCAAAGAAAGGAAAACCCAAAGTTGAGTTAAAAAGTAACATTATAGCCTGGTTAAAACTTTGAAGTTTTGGTTATATCAGAGCTCTCTTTCATCCTTCGCCACCTCTTCACAGCCACTTTCCACAACACATGACGCTATACTGCTTAAACGTAAATGTGAAGTACGTAATCAAGTCATGTAATCCAGCAGCAGATTATTTATCAGAGCTGGACCCTGAAAAATCCCCCCCCGTGTGTGTGAATGACTGTGATGACAGACACCCCCTCCAAATGCCCATTCAGGGGGAACAGTGGACCGCAGTGTTTGCCCTGCGAACAGAGCCGGCAGTGACACTTTTCAGTGAAACACCCGCCACTGTTCCAGTGCCTGCTTACACACACAAACACACACACACACACACACACACACACACACACACATACACATTCATAGACAGGCTGTGTTAGACCGTCATATCACACCAGAAAGGGTTACAAAACAAAATCTTGTTTTATTCTCCTTCTACCATGTAGGAGCTGCGTTACACAGATGAGTTGTACATGAAAAATAAAAACAATGAAATATCTGATTCATACATATAGTATGTCTTTAGGTTGTGAGGTCCATCCATGCACTGCAAATCTCTCTCACACATACACACATGGCTCTGTCATGATGCAACCACACTCTCAATTCTTTGTCCACAGGACTGCAGTTACTTACTTCACTGTATTGACTGTCTTCCTATAGTAAGGTTGGACTTAACCTGTGTTTTTGCCTCTCATGTATACATTTAATCAATATAAAATTTAATCTTTTTTTTCTGAACAATAAATACCTTGCAATCTTTGGAAAAACCCAGATGGTCATTTGACTAAAACATGAGGATCAAAGGATCGTTTGTGCAAGTGATAGACAGTGTGTGGGATTTCCTTGTTTCATTCCCAGTCTAGAGTTCTTCATCCTCCACACCTGTCATTTTCAATTTATGTTTTGCAACACCTATTTAGTCTGTTTTCCATTTTAATACTGTGTATCCAAAAACAAATTGTGGTTAATTAAGTACAAATTGAGTGAGGAGATATGTTATTTTTGGCCAGCAACTTTGTTTGAGTTAAGAAAATGAAGTTCCAACTTGGGAAACCAGTTAAAATCGTAATTATTCTGCAGCAAATAAATATTTTTCATTTAGATTTAGAGGAGTCTGTAATGATTCTGAGAATATCTTCAAAACAGCAGAGGATATTGTTCAAAAGACCCTCTTTCAAAGGTCATTAGGTATTTCTTTTCTGGAAAAACAAACTTTTCTGTGAGCGCTGTGGCTTATATCTGACAAAATTGGGGTACTGGCATGAGAGGCAAAACTTGGGGCAAGTTTGGACTTAGCTTTTGCCCAGGACATGCAACTCCTGGCACATTGGACCCTGCGTTACATGATCCACTTAATTTCTCAAACAGTGCTTCCAGCGTTCACAGCATCTAAAGACTGTTGGGTACAGGAGCATTTGGAAAGAGCGCCAACCACACCAAACAATGCCAGCAACCTGTAGGGTTCAAACCTGACTGTGCCCATTGTACAGCTCTCTGGCGAATTAAAATTTCTGGGCTCACACAGTGCTGAGATGATCCTCCATCTTGTTTCTGTGTCTCAGCCTTAACATTTTACCTGCATACATGTAATGTGAATTATGCTTCATACCTGTTGAGATGAATTGATGCTGGTATGCCAGAGTCACACACCAAAATTTTAAAATGAGACCAAGAACACAGTGGTGTTACACCAAGAGGTGATTATCTGTGGGCTACATGCTTTATGTACACATGAAGCATATTGGGGGAGAAAAGAAAAAAAAAAAAAAATCACCTAAAATATCTTCCAAACTTGTCTGTCTTGGAGTCCAGGTCAAAATAAATACTTGTGTCTTACAAACAGGCAGCATCTTATCTCAGTGCTTCAAAGTAACAACATCAACACAAACTGCATAATACTAAAACCTCCAAACTTTGTTCTGTGCCTACAGTTATGTAAAGATAAAGCCGTTGCAAGACTGTATGTAGTGTCACTGCTGCCGTGTCGGACAGCTGTAGACATCTGGGGTCCCCATTAGAGTAACCCACTTTAAACAAGATCCCTACAAATGTGTGTTGGTTTGTCTGTGTGTGTCTGCTGAGCAAATTTGAGATTTCAATAATGCAGTAATGAGATTGTGAGTCTTAGTCCTGCAGGTCGATTTTAGAAAAAGATCTGAGATTTCTTCGTAAAAACTTCATTTCAAATATTTGAAATTTTTTAGGCTTTTACAATAAAAAAAAAAAGTTAAAAAACTGACAAGTTTTGTTCTTTCTAAAAACAACTCTGCGCTGTACATATGATTGTGCTTCTGAACACGTACTCGCACAGTCCAGCTGTCATGTTCCTACGATCACACAGCCACCCACGTTGTACTTATTCACATACACAGATTTTGTTGCTCTCTTCGTGCTCTGCTCCAGCTGTGCATGCCAGATCTGCCCCCCACCCCCTCGTCGTCATCAGCAAGCATGTCTACGGGTTGCCATGACAGCCAAGACCCGTGCTCAGAGTCTACCTGGTTCAAGAGGCACCGACTGGACCAGATGGAAACATCTGAAGCGGCTTCTGATGCTTGTTGTAACAGCTTTATGCCTTGGCTGGTTTTGTCAGTAATAAATAAATAAATACTCCAGGGGGTCAGGTGCACAAAAATATGTCTGGTCTGAGCATGCTCCGTGACCGGTGTCTGATCCCTGAACCTCACTGTTTCACCAGGACACACTGACTGGTTGGTTCTTTGGCTTCAGTCTATTCGGTTGCCACAGATGGTGAAGCGGTCTATTTCCAGTAAATCTTTCTTGGGCGTTCTGTGTTCAAGTCTGTCCCCTTCCAGTCCCGTGTTGGCGTTGATGATTTTGTCCTCGTCCTCCTCATCTGGCGTGGTAAGGAATATGTCCGAGTCGCTCTTGGGGAGTGCTGGGGCGGAAGTCTCTGCCACGGTGGGGGGCGGACAATTGTCTGCTGCCTGTGATATGCCTCCTTTGTCAGTTGTGGGTTCTATTAGAGGAAGAGAGGTAGAGTTTATTACAAACAGCAAAGGACACACTTACACAGTGCAGCTGACAGTTCTCTAAACCCCTCCACCAAAGAGCAATTGTACAATCATTGCTTAGCAACTGTTACTAGGCACAGCAGATCTGATAAGCTTTGA